ATTCCATTAACAAAAATAAGTAAAATGTGTACATAAGCCTGTTTCAGCAAAATGGTTAAAATAAATTTTTACTCAGAACATATCTTTGGAAGAACCTGCTAGAAGAGAAGACATGTGTTGTGGGAATTATATACCAATATCATATTCACCATAAATCATTGACATAAAGAGCTAGTGCATCATATTTATGACCTAAGTTGCAAATGACCCATCGTACCAGCTAGAAATAGGTACTTTTTGGACACATAATTGGCCATATTTTTGTAAATTGTAGTCCGATTATTATAATTCTTTTTTTTATTTTACTCCTATAAAAGTGTCTTTGATATCAGTCTATCAGCAATCTCCAATCATAAATTGTAAATTTATCAGACACTTGTAACATTAACCACATTTAATTGTTCAGCCTGATTGTGAAACAGCCGACAGTGTCAAACAGGATTCAGTTTGCAAGTAACCCTATTTGTTGATTTTGTGGATGGTCAATAGCGTGATTGATATCTGAATTGGCTCATACGGTCAACAAACTCTCTTGTTGTGATTTGTTCTAACATATGGACGGTTTTGCAATATTTTAAAGGACAGGGTATCACTTTTCCGAACATGATTTATAAACACCTCAATGTAATAAATGGACTGAAAGGAATGAACCAAAATACACTTTATATTAGTATTGCTCTACTGGGGGAAATCAAACATTCTATTGATCATACTATTCCCGTATTCCCTAGCATAATCTCCTGTTGTCAGAATAACTAAACTAAGTGTCCTCATTGTACAAAAGTTAAAGTATAGGCATGGTATCCCTTGAGGCATAAAATAAAGTGTTTCTTAAAGAACATGTATTTCCATCAATGACAGTGCCTGTGTGCTGGCTATTTATACACATTAAACAGTGGTTAATCTAATTGAATTTCAGTTAGAGGCCAACAAAGTAACATATCTCAAATGATTAAAACAACTTCACATAACGCGATATTTTTTGAGTTGGTGATTTTGAAGAAAAGGATTTTAAACACTTATTTACTACACAGATGTACAGACGAACTTGCAGAAATAAACACTGAAATATTACACTTGACATCAAAACCTAATAGTGTTGGTAAACATAAAAATTAATGAACAAATAAGTCGATATATAATAGGGTTCAGGGAAATGTGTTCACAAATAAGAAAATGGAAAACAGAGCATACCTTAATTTACATGTGTGTCCTGGTAGTTGATGAATACGCTATTTGAAAATATACAGTGTGCATTATTGAAGTTATATGAACACATTTTAAAAGTTATTACGGTATGGCCCGAGTCTACAGATGGATTCAGTGTCCTTCTGGGGGAGGGGGGGGGGGAGGAGGCTCAAATTAGATAAGAAAATATATAAACTAAAATTAAAAAATCTTTTTAGTATTATGCTTTATTTATGCTGTATTTATCTTTACAATGCGGCGTGCGTGTAATGCCTTTGCACGGGTACGACATGTTAACCTCGCAAATAAAACACTTAACGATACAAAAATGGAACACATTATCCTGGACTTTCGTGCATTCTGATTATGTAAAACACATCTTCCTAGTAGCGTTTGGACTATTTTAAAACGAGTATTTAAAAGTGGCTACGCATATCATGGACACAGCTGAAACCAGGAAAACTAACTGTATTAAAAAATTGAAATAAAATACTGTAAGGCTTATTTCAGCGTTTATTTGCAAACGTACAATTTGCACGTAAAGAGGTGACCCTGTCTTGTAGCCTACGAGAGAGAGAGAGTCCCTTTTGATACAGATCTCGGGTAAAATTGGTTAGGACATAGTAAATCCTCCTCAGCCACGCCTATTCTAACCCATATTAACCATACAGAGAGTAGACTCTCTGTTACAGAGTCCTTTAATTACGCCGGCATCTTGGACCGGCACATTCCCCTAGAAAAGCAACCCTTAGAACGCTGGACCGGCACATTTTCCTAGAACAGAAACCTGAAATCTACCTCTTAAATAACACAATTACTTAAGGATAAACGTTAAAAATAACAATCACACCTCTAGTAGCTACTCACCAATATGAATCGAACCTTTTGATCCATGCTTTCCAATCTATTTAAAAATGACATGGTGGTTGCTTCTAACCACTAAGGCCATTTAATTACGACGCACCACCTACGACGTTACAATGATATAAGTAGTCCCTCGTTTCAAAGTATTTCAAACTATTTGACGAGTGTAATTACTGTTTATATTATACATTCAAAACCGTTAAATACACTAAATGTGCCATTGTTTTTGTAAATCGTCAGTAAAAACTCCTTATTATCTCGCGGAGCAATACATGTACCCACCCAACCTGGTAATAAGGCTGATTTGACACGGAAGAAGAAGGTTGTTGAGAGGACGCAGACTCGCTTTAGGAGAAATGACAGGACAGGTTAAAGATGGCGGAAACGTCAACACATGCCACAGGCACCACAGGTCAGGTATTAATAGATGGAGCAGCAGTAGAATATCAACTTAATACAAGACAGCAAGGACAGAGGTTGTGGTTTAAGTAAATAATGCCAATAATAATGTACTCAGGTGTTAAGTATCTACATGTTACTCGAAGTTTGCAATACGTTTGATAAAAACTATGTAGGGCTTTAGAGAGTGTCACCCACCGACACAAAAATGCTGTTCACAGACAATAAATACATGTAAGACCCAACCACTGGTTTACAATTATAAGTGGTCACATAAGAGAATGCACTGGAAATTGAAACGCAGCCTTTACATGCAACCTTCCTATTTTACAACTTTTACAAGGAAGCAGCTGCAAATGGAAAGAAAAGGTAGATATATTAATTTTGTTGAAAGTTAAACCTTTACTGAAAGGATAGCATAACATTTACTCATTCTCTAGGTGTGTTTAATGCCTCTTGTATATAGCTATCTCTTCAGTTGACATCATGTGTATTTAAATGTAGCTGTTACTGGAGACTTGGTGTGTTCAATGCCTCTTGTACATATAGTTATCTCTTCAGTTGACATCATGTGTATTTATATGTAGCTGTTACTGGAGACTCTCCCGTATTTCAGAACACCATATCTGTCCTAGAGATTTCGATTATTACTGTAAAACTTAATCTGCAGACCATATAATTTGAGTAAATGGTATGAAAAGAGATTTGTGGAAATCTAGGTCGTTTTAGAGAGATCTGAGCATCCCGACATAAACCAACTTTCTCATATATGTTACAATGTATGGCTGGGCTGGAGAATTTGCCAAAATGGCCCATTAACAACAGATATATGCAAAATATTTAAAAAAAATCTACTTAAGGGATTAAAATCTTACTTGGATATTTTATAGTTATTGGTTGAAGCATAAGGAATTTACAAATGAAAGGACACAGGGTGGGGGGGGGGGGTTGTAAGAGCATAGGTTTATTTCCCTGCTTTGGCTATAGGTGATGTAGTTTAATGTTTCAGTGCTTACCTGTACTTGAAATGGTAATTTAGCTAATTGAACAGGATGGAAAAGAAATAAAAGACATATTGAAATTATACTGAGGAAAATAAAACAGTTAAATTATTACAGTAGTCAGTTTCCATACTCAATTCCTTATCAGGCCTCCAAATTGAGAAGAACTCAATGGATCCCATTCCTTTTGATGTAAAAAATGAAATCACATACATTTCAAGAAGCATTCTGAAAACTTAGGGAAGATCAGGATACCATCACAAGCCTGTTTCTGTTGAAAGGAAAATAAACAAAGTCCTGGGTGACTGTGACGTTTATACTTAGACCTACGATTAAATGTCATAGAAAGTCAAAACCATTCATTTTTCTAAAATATGGGGTCTAGTTATGTCTACATGTACCATTTATTATAGATATAGTATTGGATATTAGATATTAAAAAACTGCACCTAAATTGTAATTTCTTCTTACAATGGTAGGTCCTTTGAGAGCAAGCTTTCGAGCGTAATAAGTTTACAATTCATACATGCTCAAATAACACCGTATACCCACAACAACCATGGCACGGTATAAAAAAATGGTGAAGTGATATATAAATGTGCCTCACTAGGTTAAGGGAAAAACGTGTCCGCAGTTCCCTCTGTTTTGGGGTTAATAAGCACTTATAGAAATATATCATAGAAAATGTATAGATTGCTGATCGGAATTGTCGTGATATATTTTTGCATATTTGTGAAAAAAAAATTATTGCGCTGGGGAACCCGTTACCCGTTTCATATAACATCGTTGCTTACAGGTATGTTTGATGTTTGTACCTTGTATTAGACATGCATTGTAACCGACCCCCCACCCCCGAGTGTAATAGTAGCATGAGATGGGACGCGGGGCATTCATTCCCCCAAAAACACCTCTCCTGGCTCATCTGTGCAATCCTATTGACCCATTAGAGCCTGCGTCATCAAAACAAACGGCAGCCATACTGGAGGGAAACCGGAATCGTCTGCGGCGCATGAACAAGCCATGTCTGTAGTTCAGTTTTCGTTTTCTGTATTTTCTTTGATATTTAACCGAGCAAAATGATGAATTACTGCAGTTTATTTGATCGAGAGAAGATAACTAACTTTACAAGCGTTCACAGACTGCCTGCAGTGGTAACAATCCATGGTGAAGGAACTAAAACCATAAACGGAGGAGAGACGGCGAGGTGGCTTTGAATCAAGACTCTTCGGAAAAGTAAAGGATAAAACTAATTTATTTAATAGCAAAGAATGAAGAGCCAGCTATGCAGATTTTACCATAAAAGAAAAAAAAAACAGTAGAAAACCAAAGACCTAGGTGTGTACGTTTGGGGCGCACGTACACTGCATATATATTTAAAGTACGTAGTGCCCAAAAAGTTTGGGTGGAGAGTGTGTTAATTTGTTAAAACGTGTGGAAATACCCAGGCAGGGTTTCGACTTTTATAATGAAGACTCACCTATTTTTTATGGTTTATATGATCCATGGGGAGTGAGGAGAGAAATAACAGACATTATAATATATATATACAATCAATGGGGACTGAGGAGATAATCAATATACAGTATGATATACAAAACTACTGGGCCTTGAGGAAAGAAGGTAAGCCCCCTCAGAAAGCAACATGAACAAGATCACGGACCACAAAGTTTTCCTGATTTTACACAAGTACTTTTAGTTACGAGGGAACACGTCAGACTATTCAGTTGATTACACTGTCTGCACCTTACTAGTAATAATACCTGCTGAAATCGATCCTGTTGGCATGATAAATTTGATTCTGCTTTTAGCTCTAAATTTTTATTTAGCTCTAAACTTTACTAACTTTAAGAACAAACAACTTACATGTCACGCCAAAGTTGTCTGCATCAGTGAACATCTCCTTGATCAGTCCTGTCCACTGCTTGCTGATCTTCCCTACCTCCTCACCGCCACCTGGTGGAGTGATCTGAAATTACAGTACAGTTTAACTACAGTCACCAGGTCTCATAAACATTAATTGCCATTTGCAGTGGCAGATCCAGAGGTATTTTTTTGACAGTCTTCATAATAATCTTCTTTCATCCTTCCCCCATTTTTGACCATCTTCCCAAAGAAAAAAATAGATGTCCGTCAATGTAAACTTGAAAAATTCTGACCATCTTTCAGAAGACAGCTTCTGTCTGCCCTCGATTTGTGTTTTTGAATGTAGAGTTCGTGTTTTCAAATGCCGAATTAACAACCAAAACCGCCATTTAATGATATGAACATAAATATGTTAGTTGTGAGTGCCCTTTCCAGATCTCTGTTTATTTAATACACACAGGTTCTTTTTCTCAATTTACGATAAAAGTAAATATTAATACAACAAATTCTTCTACAGAGTGTACAAATATCAATTTTATATAAATTAACAATTATTAATATAATTAAATAGCTTCAAAACAAATCAAACTGATGAATTTCAATAATCAACTAATTTGTGTGCGTATCAAAAAGGGAATTATAGCAGTATGTTCTCGACAATCTCTGACACATACAGAACAGGACTGAGAAGGTGAAGGGACAGCCTGCAGATTGTAATTTATACAACTTATGCTACTTCTAATCTCTTCATATGTTCACAAGTAGTGTGTATTTACATTAAATGACAAATTAAGACAGACAAATACATTGCAGAGTTGACTTGAATGCTACAAAATCTTATACGATCATATCTGTAATCTAAAAATTTGATCAGTCTCATCATTTTATACATTAGTTTCGATTTTGTAAAAATTTCTAATGCGTTTTGACCAAAAGAGATCAACTTACTGCAGTTTAAGCTACCATGTAGGGGCATGTCTTAAGTATCATTAAACTATCATAAAGGTTAAAGACATTTCATGAAGCATGAGCAAACTCATTTGATCACTCTTAAAATAGCAAGCATCTTGTATAACATGATATTCTATTGAATGCTTTAATGTAATTCCTGACTCACTCTGCAAGCTCTGTGCCAAAAATACAAGGGAGGCATGGAAGAAATGTGTATTCCAGCAGAAAGAATTCAGCTGCATGTAGTTGTGGTGTGCGCAAATGTAATATCCATGTGACTTGACATTTCCACTTTTAATATTATATCGCCCATCTCCGGTTGTGATGTGTGAAATGGGTAGACAACTGCACGATTATTGTTACCGCAAATTGAATTTTTTTGACACGAGAGAGAGAGAGAGAGAGAGAGAGAGAGAGAGAGAGTTCAGAACAGCAGGCTAACAAATTTGTGGTTCAAATATGGCCACATCCTAAAAGACTTGAACCTTAAATCTCAATAAGACACCGAAAAGATTCCTCGCGGGGATTACGTAACAAGCATTCAAGTGGGTCGTCCATATTTGATCCAGGGATCTGTTAGTCCGCTTTTCTGAATGCGCCCAGCTGTTCTAAGTATCCACATACCACAAAGTCTTGGTCCCAAGTACAACAAGGTCCCTGGCAGATACAGCATGGCCCGTTCACCTCAAAGATTGTCTTCATCCCAGCATCCATGATGGTGTATTTAGGGGCCCAACCGCTTGTACTGGGAAATACAAACAAACCAAATTTGTTCAATTGTCGGGACATGTTAATAACACCACCACTATCCTCTACCAGGGTCACAGATTGATTTTTCACAAGATGTCCACAGATATGTCTTTAATACATAAATAGTCATTTGATTCTCTGCCTTTTTCAAAATTTGCCTATGTCTGCCACCTTGGTAGAGGGTGTACAACTACCTCGTCTGACTTTCAATTCCCAGTCAATTTACTCGTAACACTGTTTCCAAATACACAATTGTCAGAAATAAAACATAAGATAAATAAAAACAAAACAAAATAGATAAATAAACAAATGAATATGTGACAAAACCAAAAATAAGAATCAAATACTGCCAGAAAAAAAGACATTTTCTTTTAAAACTTCCTGCCAATTCACTTTTCATTACACACACACACACACACACACACACAAAAAAAAAAAAAAAAAAAAAAAAAAAAAAAAAAAAAAAAAAAAAGCCACATCCAATTTTATGAAATATTTCTATTTTTTCTTTCAATTCAACACCTTGTCATGTTTAAAAAAAATTACACAAACCTCATAACCCTTTACTGGTAGAAAAAACATTTTCTTTAATTATTTTCAGTCAAGTAACTTTGCGTTGCATCAAAAAGCAACCACATTCCTTTTTACAAAATACAATTTATCATTTTCACACAAAGTCAGCATCATCCTGTCATTAAAACAATTTACTTTAACAAACCATTGTAGTTTGTATTTATCCTGAGAAAGAGAATTTCACAACATCATGATCTTGTTACATAATGTCAGCTGTGAAAAAGTAGGCCATGGCGTGTATGGAAATAACAGACAGACGTACTATACTGGTGACCTTCTTAATTTCCAGCCCAGTCTAGCAAAGTGCTTGTCTTAGAAAAACAGCAGAAAGAGTTCACTCAGGTTTTAATTTTCTAATATGCTTAAAGGGATAAAAACTCTTCGTTTTGGCCAAAAAATGGATTTTTCTGGAGTAAACAACAATTTTCCCATACTTTCCAATGGTTAATGAATCCATTTTTATATTCAAAGTTAGTCCCTGGTTTTTATTCTAAAAAAGTTAGTTTTTTTGATTATAAGATCATATTGATTATAAGATTTTAACGGAGTATAGCCATCAATGGGGGTCACATGGTCTATAGACAAGCTCAGATATCAGAATAATAGCTATAACTGTCGTTTTTGTGGTACAACAGAATATATTTTATTTCTATGAGTTGTTCACAATGTTTTTATTGTGAAATATAGATCTCATACAAAGAGTTATTATCTTTTTAAGAATGCACTGATATAGAGACAGGTGGGGTAACATGATTTTGTCATAAAAAAGCAGGAAAAAATGTATATGTAGTCATAGCCTGGGTAATGGGAAACTAGATACTTACGCCTGTCTCACATGTCCAACAACCTGTCCCGGCGGTGACTCTACACTGACTTCCATGGCGCAACAATCAGCACCGGCGCACCAACAGCAGCCAGCGCAACACTTGAACTCTCGATTAACTCGCACCACTTCCTGTAACACAATTTAAACAGACTGTCATTTTATCAACTTTGACTGACTACAAACAAACTTCTCATGACAATGATGGTTTTCTCCAGATGAAACTCCAGTCACCACTTGGCATCACCAGTTATTTCAGAAGATGGTTCATGTTTTATCAGGGATGAATGCAAGGCTTACAAATTTTTTTGACATAATTGCCAGCTTGGATGAAATGAATCCTGCAAGTCTTACAAATTTTAGGGGTATGAAAGCTAGATTTGTTGTCAGGGGTGCAAGGCATAGAATTTCCAGGGAAATATTCTGATGTCCCCAGATTATGTGATGAGCTTCCGTTGTGGGATAATATGTTAAAAAATGATGAATCATTTCAATCGATCTTGCCCATTAGGACTTCCTGTCACCACCATCCATTACATGTAATAAAATATAACTTTTATCACCTGTCACTCTGAGAAGATTAATAAGCAAATAATGAAACAACCACACAAAAAGGGATACACTTTCATGAAATGAAAACCCCATCCTCCTTTCTCAAAAACAAATGAAATAAATAATAACGCCTCTTTTTCCTGCCATAAATGGATATTTTATTACTTTTTTTCTCAGTAAACAACTTCAGGCTAATTCTCTAATCAACCAGAGGTTGACACAGTAGAAGCTCCTTCCTGTGTATGTATCGCCAGGTTACTGAGAAATACCAACTACAACTGGTAACTGGTAATACTTGGATATGACAAAAATTGTTCATAGTAGGTTATATATGAGTACACAGCAGTAATAATAATAATAATAATAATAATAATAATAATAATAATAATAATAATAACAACAGACCAATAAAAAATCAAATTGATTACAGTATTTCTAACACCAACTTTACAAACTGCAATATTCATCTAATGAAACAAAACGGACAACCATTTTACATTCTGACATGCAATGTAGACCATTGTTTCTTTGACTGTGTATTTTTCCTTTTAAATTTTAATAAATGAGATAAGGATTTATGAAGATTTTACATTTTTATACAGTGATGATGTGTTGGAACACAATGTGGAATGAATTGGTTAAATTTTGTTAAACAAGAATGGAAAGCTTGTTAATGAAATATTTTTTCATCTTACGGTAATGTACCATGAATTTCGAACAGCTCTTAAATGTGTAACAATTTAAAAATCAGTCGTCTGGAGTTTCTTATGGACCATGAATTTCGACCAGTAAGCAAGTTTGCGCAATCTTGATTTTCGTGAATTCCGTACACATTAAAATCGGCCATTGGGCTATTTTTGCGCTCATAAAGATCTAACAGTCGACAATGTTGCCCTAGCGTACCTTTACCTGAGTACTTTGTGTGTGGCCCCAGGCAAGATAATGATTGGTACAGTTAGCTTAGGATGCTAAACAACATCGTCATCACCATTCATTAAGATAACAGGAGAATCAATTATGAGTTGCACTGTCGTACTGTCAATTCTTTACCGGAGTACTCAGTGTGAGATAGCAATCGGTAGTTTTGCTGAGGCGAACAATAGCATTGTCAACAGTAGGCACTTCAGTAACAGAACAAAAGAAGCAATTAAAAACTGCAATAAAGATTACCACTATTGTTTTCTTGTCTCGCTCAGATCGTTCACGATCTCCGGCTTATGAAGTCCATTGAACAAATATGAAAACTACCTTCTTGTTTCGCTCAGATCGCTGTTGATATCCTGGTGACGATCTTCCGCTAACAAAGTCCTTGGAAGAAATAGGAAAATTGCCTTTCTGTCTTGCTTGGATTGCTAACAAATATGAAAATTGCCTTTTCGGTTTTGTCTAGATTATTATCACTCACGTGTTTGTTTGAAGATGGTTTAAATCATAAAATGTACATACTTTTCAAATTGGTGCAACTATGTGCCAGGAAATCAGTTGTGTTGTCGGACAGCTGCTGGTCAAGATTGGGTTGCCTGACCAAAAAAAAAGTGGTTGTAAAAGGCAACCACACAACCATGGATACCGAGCCCTGCACCTAGGGGTACCCCCCCCCCCAACGACCTACCGTAGTATATGTGATTGTAGACAACAATCAGCAGTTATCTTGGTTGCAGTGCACGGTGGAGAGAGACCATAATACACAGTTTGACTGCTGTGGTAAAGGCTACAGTACCTGTGCGCTGTACATATCAATCTGCGGTTGTAGTTGCCTCCCTGCACAGCAGAGAGAGGCCATAATGCCGAGGCCAGCTAGTTTCGCTTTTGAAAAAGGACACTACTGATAATGATGCTGTTTTGTGTCCCTAGCCAACAGTAACACTTGTTATCTAGCACCTTCAGCCGTACAGAGTGATCGTGTGAAAGTATGTGTATCCCTTGGGTCGCAATTACCGACAATCACCCATCATTCATCATGGTAACTCTAAATAGATCGTTGAAAGAAGGTAACATAAGGCCTAGTGACGAACAGACAACTTCTGGTCAAAACTGACCGAATTCCATGAAATTTTAACGTTTGGAAGTTCTGAGCACCCCCATTTCATGAATTACAACTAAAACGATCTTTTCCCAAATTTAATTATTTTCTACTGTACGAAATTCATGGCACATTACCGTAATTCCTGTTTATCCACAAACCGAAATACTACTATCCTAGTCAAAAGTAATAGGAAGGTACTTCAGTGTTATACATTAAACAAAGTATCCATGCAACTGTAACTTATCTGGATTGAAAGAAAACAGCAAAATAGTGTAATAACCAAAGATTGTTGAAATGAATCTATCATAAAGTCCAATTTAGAAATCTAATCTGGAAGGCTATAAATGACACTATGAAGGTAAAACTTTTGGCATACATTTTTAGGATAATGGAGCTATTAAAGGGCAAAAGATTCCCAATTTTATACATTTGTATTTTATTTATTTAGTAAATTATTATCTTATCTTATCTTATCTTATCTTATCTTATCTTATCTTATAAATACTCTTTTTAAGTGCCAGGTTGAAACCAGTAATGACAGCTGCAGTATATTAATGGCTTCCATGTCATGCCTGTCAACCTGCCATTTCATACCTAATGGGAAACAATGTTTATGCATGCATGTACTAGTGTATTACACCCCATTTCCATAGATTTTTAGATCGATCTATCCCTGTGGGGAGTCTCACTAGATTACTGTCAGCTTGGCCGGCTTAAGCGTCTGTCCTGCCTACTAAAAGCTGTAAGGGGGTAATTAACTATGGTGCCCGCTCGGCTGACTGCAATTTAGCGTGAACCCCCAGGGAGTTAGGTCGATCTAAATCTTAATCTTTAGATCGATCTAAATCTCTGGGAAAGCACCCTAAGTCAGAGAAGCTAACCCTGAGTTACATGCATCCTAACATGCACCTTACCATCTTACATTGGAGAAATAACAGAAATTGACTTAAACGATTTTACTGTACTTGGTAAGTTTTCAACAAAATGTGGCAAGTGCAATAATATGTTTAAGTGGCCAACAACAAAAGATGAAATCTGGATAAGTTTTGAAAAGATTATCCAGAAACTACCTGATCCACCCTACTCTTCTCGAAAGAGCAAATGATGTTTTACAACACCACCAGACATTTTGAACGGTTTAAATGATCGCATAATTTAGACTACTGTTTTACCTAACCTCTGTTGCTAAGATAATAAAATAAACTCTTTTTCTGGTAAAATATGGAATGTAAATTCTACAGACGTAGGAATCAACATATTAGTAATGAAATGTATCCAGTAGTGGTAAAGGTATGTATGTGGTCCTTGAAAAGCAAAACACCAATTGTAACCATTTACCATTTGTTGATTTGAATAAATGTTTTATTAATTTTGCTTTCTTATCGTGTGACATTTGTCATATCTGTAATACTACGAATCCCGAATTCAGCTTCTAAAGTTTACTTTTAACTTAAAAAAATTACAAGGCAGCAAAGCTGTCAAATGTACAGACAAAAAGCAGGAAATAACTATACACAAAATAGGCTTCTGTCAATTCTGATGCAAAAGTACATTATGTTAAACTGCAAATTCAACATCAAATTTTAATTATGCTCAACAGGTAATACCAATGTAAGTAAAACGTGTAACAAGCATAAGGCTTCAGGCCCATGGGAGTTCAAGTTCACACTTTGAAAATGTATAACTTCCAGAAAAAGAAGCCAATTAGACTACTTTTCCAACTTAGGTTGCATTTTAGTCCTGCATTTCTTTTTTGAACATTTGGCAATCATAAGTAACATGGTTTTCCCATAATGGTCATCATGGCAGCAGCACCCATAATTGTTTTCTTCTATTCTGATGCAATATTACTATTGGTTAACAGCATAATGACCGTCAATTTTCAATAATAAAATATATGTATCATGGATTTTCAGAAAATGTGACTAGCATGGGTCTTTAAGCATGTAGAACTTCAAAGTCACACCTTGAAAATGCCAATATGTGAAATATGCTGAAAAGTGAAAAAAAGCATGACTTCTACAATAATGGCCTGATCATGCTGATTTTCGAACTTGACCTGCGTTTTATGAATATTCATCAGCTCTGTAAATATAAAGCCCAAAAGTAAAACTGCCTTCCACTTATCGTGTTTACAATGAAAGTGCAAGGCGCCGGTGACGGCGCTGACGGCGACGACAGACGCAAGTGATGGCAATATGTACAGACACATCTGTACATATTTACTGTACTGTTTGAGAACAGTAAGTGACATGGTTTTTCTTAAATGGTCATCATGGGAGCAGT